CACTCGTGCTGCTGCGTTCTGAAGCAGCTGAAAAGCTGATCTGAAATTGATGATAAACGTTTGATGTTACAAACAAATATTGTAAATAAATTCCCCTCTTTATATTGACTTTATTAACCTTATTCTGCAATGTGGAAATGCACTAGTTTTTAATTGTTGATTTAGATCTTCCAATTCAGTCGCCAATGGGAGAAATGACTAGGAAAAATACAGCAAAAAACGGTCAAACTATTTGCTCTACAAACAAGTGTGTTTATGACTATACATAAAAAGTAGAATATATAAGGAAAATAGCAGCGGATTGAGCTGTTTTTAACATCTAAAAATCAATGGAGGTAAATGAGACCGGACGTTTCCAGCCAAAAGGATTCCTATGGCTGCGGCCACTTAAACATCAGAAATGAGGTCAATATTATAACTATTTATTATAGTATATTATGGTATTATCTATACATATATTATCTATATCTAATATAGTATATTTTATATTTATAACTTGCATTTATATTAATGAAAGAATCCTAAAAAAGTGTCAGCAAACTATTAAGCTGTACAAAATGTATTCACAGACGATGATAATAATAAGAATAATTTTTAATAAGCTAGGTGTTACTTTTGCAGGTTTGTGCGCTCTTCCGTAGTGTCTGTTTGATCATGTGAGTTTGTTTTGGACCCTGTTTCCTGCCTGATTCCTGCCCTGTTTCTCCTAGTCCTAGCACCGCACTCATTCCTTGCTTCTCTTTTGACTGTCAATAAATATTTATTTTGTTCACTCGCACTTGGATTCACCTGAACAGTCTTTTATTTGTGACACTAGGTAATAACTGTAGTAGTACAAGTACTATTATTAATTCTTTTTATAATTCTTTTTTTACAGGTATGACGTTTTATCCCCAGGAGAAATGCAGAGGCTTTGCTTTGCTAGACTGTTATACCTGCAGCCCAAATTTGCAGGTCTGTCTCATATGGCTATTATCAGTCAGATTATCCCATTCATGTGACATGTCATGAGTAAATCATAATTTTTTTTAAGTTCTGGACGAGGCCACTAGCGCTCTGACAGAGGAAGCTGAAGGCCAGCTCTACAATGCCTGTAAGCAGCAGGGAATGACCCTAATCAGTCTGGGCCACCGAAGCACTCTGGAAAAGGTGATGATTTGTTACCATTATCACCAACATAACACTAAAACATTATAGTGACCTTTTGTTACTAGAATTTGTTTTAAATTGGTGTTCTTTAAACAGCACCATGATGTCATGCTGCGACTGTGTGGAGGTGGCCAATGGGAGCTCAGCAAACTCAAAGAGCCATGAACTGCTCTAATGAGAGAATTTGGGTTCGCTTTGTGGTTCTGAGTGCAGTCATCCTTGAGACTCGAGAGAAATCTTGCCATGTTTACTTCACAGTATACTGCGATTTACTGGAGCTACTGATACACTAATAATGCAGTCTTATTACTACTGAACTGTATGTCTCAGCATTCTTTTTGTCGTATACAAGTTGTTTTTGTTATGTGTATGCTGCTTTGTATATTTCTTGGGGTTTGGAAAAAGGGATTTTTGTAATGAAGGACATTGAACTGTATCCCAAAAATAACTTTAGAAAAAGTAACCTATGGAATATATTTAAGATATACATTTTATAAATATAAAGTATTTGATGAACTTGCTAATAAATAAATAAAATAATCTAAACAAATGTCACTTTGTTTGTGTGGTTTTTAATACAAGCTTTTAATGGAGAAGCTGTGTATGTCTTAATTTAAATAATATTTTGTAGGAAAAGTATATTTTATGTCATTTCTTTGCCTGACCAGCAGAGGGCCAACGTTTTCCATCGACAGAGTTGAATCACAATTCAGACTAGGGCTGCACACAGTATATTGTTTCAGCATTAATATTGCTATGCCCACATCTACAATGGTCACATTGCAAGATATGTAATGTTGAGTTGAGTGGATTATAGTTGACCAGGAACTACAGAATTATATTTAATTACTGTGTTCATACTGAATTTAAATGATGCAAAAAAAAAAAAAAAATCTTAATTTTTTTTTTCTGGTTTCTAGTCCAAATATCTACATTTCAAAGTAAAAACAAAAATATTTTACTTACCCTGTTCCCAGGTAATTTAGCTTGTTTTAAGGAAAAACTCTTAATTTTTACTTATTTATTCTGGAGTTGAAAATGCAACAATATTTTTACTTGATCTATGAATTTTTAGATATTTGGACAATAAATGAGACAAAGCAAAGTAAGAAAAGCATGTTATGCATTACAATTTTTTAATTTTTGTACTTGAATACTCTCCAAAAAAAAACAGCCAAAGCTGTATTCATAACGCAATATTTATATCAGAAAAAATAAAATGTGCAATATCAGATTTTTCCATTATTGTGCAGCCCTAACTCAAACTATTAATAATACTGCACAAGTTTAATTAAGTTTTAACTACTTAATCTATTAATAATCTATTTCAATCACTCTCTTTGTTAATAAATATGATCAATATAAAATACGTGCTTGCTCACAAATGCATTCTTTTCAATGAAACTAATATAAATACGAAGAATATTTATAAGTGAATATGGAAAGTCTGGAGGAAGTACAAAAAATGGTGAAAATAGTATCACCCCACATCACAAATACATCTAGTTGCTATAATAACCAGCTTCAAGTTAATTTCTTTAATATCTTTATATGTTTAGAAACTATTTGTTCTGTATTTTGTATTAATAGTATGCTGCATATACATTATACACACCTCTGGCCACAGTGAACACGGTAAATGTATGTTATCATGTAGAGAACACTTGTAGTGGATAAAAAAGATTAAGTAGACAAGTTCTTCCAAAGCAAACATCAACCATGGACATATTTCCTTGCTGAGCAGGACATTTAGTTTACTCAAGAAGTGTGCCATTGAGCATTTAAATCAGGAAGAATAGTGAAGGTGGTTTATTTGCAACTGAAAGAGAGCTAAGCTCAAAATGATCCTCTCACCAAAGAGTTTGACTGATCCTACTGCTTGAGTTTCAGGAGTTTTAAATGTGAGCTTGGCCGATCTGCTGCTGTCAATCAGCAGTCACACTGGCATAGACAACGGGAAAGACCCATTAGCCATTCAGGAAAATATGAGACCATCAGTAGAGGAATAACCAAACCATCACATTGGTCTATGCAACTTTAGTAAAATAAGCAATTCAAGCCAATCAGTATTGAAATAGTATTTTTAGCTTATGTTAAAAGCTGTTTCCATGTTCACTATGCTGCAATTATGTGGGCAAAAATAAATTGCATCACAATTTAAAATCACTATTTTCCATTGTAAGATTTTAAAATGTACAGTCATTTAAACATGTTGTGCTAAGCTTTTGTCACAACTCCACCAGGCTACAAAATATTTTAGAAATCATGCTGATTTTCTGCTCAAAAACATTTATAGTTTATATTGTTGTTGTTGATTCCAATAATGATAAAACCAGGGGTGTTGCTTAACATTTATGCAGAAATAATTATATAATTATTTGGTGTGTGTGCTTTAATATAATTTATATATTCAGCAAATATGAATTCAAACGAAAGTGATTTGTAAACCTTTTGACGTTACAGAATATATATATATATATATATGGGCCATTCTTCAACTACGGGCACTTTTAGCCTTGTGAGGTTGAGTAAAAAAAACTTGTTCAAAATTAACGTTACATAGCCTCATAAGTTTAAACAATTTGTCTAGTTTTAAGATCTGTAAGAGGAAAAACTTAGATAAGAGAAACATTTTTTCCATGGTGAACTGCACAACAGTCAATTCCACCACATCTCAATACACAGTTTATTTTAAAATGAGATAAATGATGGCCGTCAAACATTGTCTAGGATCATTTTTGTATCTGGTTTAACCAATCTTTCCACAATATATATAATAATTATACATTTGTCAATAAAATAAATTAGTTGTATGCTGAATTGTACACCTGTCACACTCTAAAATGTAATATTAATTTGGTTAAGAGCTTATTAGAAAATAAATATACTGAATTTGTATATTAAATAGAGCATGAACTTATACATTGTAAATACACTTTTAATGTGTGATGAGAACTTTTTAATTTTTTTTTTTTAAATGTGTGTGGTGATGGAAATGACAGTGGTGGAAATGACATTTATTGTGAAAAAATGAAAAATAGCTTCACCGATTCGCTTTAAATTGATACTTGCCTTTCAAAACACTCTTATTTTGTTTGGTTTTTAAAAACATCCAACATGCTTGGAAATGACGTAGAATAAATGTATTTCCTTATCAAGCAATATTTACCTTGATTTTTCTTCAAGTGTTGTTGATAATTTTAATTCCCTCCATCTTGAAGATGTTCTCAAAAGGCACAATTCATTTTCAAAGAAACCATCTAAATAATCTCACACAAACCTTTCATAGTGACATTACAGGGTTGTGGTGGAAATGACACTGATACCGTGCGACAGCTATATTTTGTATAAAATATTATTGATAATAGTCTCACATTAATAACTATAAAATATTTAAATTATTTCACTAGTGCTTAATTAAGATACATAAATAGTTACCAGATAAATAATACTTTAAAATGTTATTTTCATTGTTGAAGTTTAAAACTCTGGGTGTGTGACAAGGTGAAAACTGTGATTTTGACACCTAAAAGGAGGTTGAATAATATGAAAAATATACAATAGAAAGCTATTAAAAAATATAAGTATAGGTTTTATTGTTAGTTCGACAAAAAAAAGGGAACTTGAACAAAATTATATATATATATATATATATATATATATATATATATATATATATATATATATATATATATATATATATATATATAATCCTAAATAAATCGGTTTTTAAATGTTGTATTAATCAAAAACCCTACAAAATGTTCTCAAAATATTTGTATTATACAAAATCTATTGGCAAAATGTTTTACGTAGATATTAATATTTTTAAAAGGCTATTTTTAACTGTGCAAAAATACATTGCTCCACAGCCACAAAACGTGACTTTTTTTTTTTTTGCATTAAAACAATAAAACAGTAACTTATTTTGAAGAAACTGCGTGAACAGTTACTAAGGTTTGCCATAGTTTGAGGTGACGCGGCTGTTCAACAATAGTTACTTCACCTCAGCCCGACATTTGCTCCGGTAAGTGACGGATCTATTTTGAACGGGAGGTTGGGCCGACAGAGGATCGTCACACAGAGAGCAAAGACACTGGGGGATAAAATACACTGTCCTCCTCCTCTACAGTTCGCGGAATTTACCTGTTTTCAAGCGGATATTGTCGAATGCCTACTTTGGATATTTATAAACATCTGCACCGGTTAATATCACCTATAATTTGAGGGGGGAAAGGTAAGATGCGATTTTTTACTCATGAAAAGTTGAAAGGTGAAACTCTACTTTTAATTAGAGGGAAAAGTTCTCTCGCGCTTTTAAGTGTTTATTTAATTTTATTTATCAGTAAAATTGCGAGTTCACTAAACGTATTTGTATTTATATATTACGTATATGTATTTTTGTTGTTGTTATTGCATTGTTCATTATATTTTGGATAACTAGAAGGAGAGCGACGTTCCCACACATTGGAAAGCGTTGCTGTTGTTCATTCAAAATTAATGTAATGGGACATGCCATTGACAAAAACATACATGTCCTATCACACGGCAGGTCTGATCTCTTCTACAAATGGACATACTGCAGACTGAGCCCGACAGCTGAGGTTATTTTTGGGACAGGCAGCTCAGGGGGAGTGAGGTGTCATAGATGGCAAATGTCATGCTTTTCAAAGACCAACATCCCTTTGTTTAAATTTGTTATAGTAAAATACCACCTCAGTTAAGCTTCACTAAAAGTTTCAGTAGATAACCAATCTTGTTGGAGAGCTAGAACTAAAAAGTTCCAAAAAGAATTAAAGTCGATATAATTTTTTTCATTTATTGTTTCCTAATTATTTGACATTTGTCATTGTATGCAAGTTCTGCCTATACAGTAAGTGGACAATGTTAATTTTAACAATCTGTTGTTGTGTTATTTAAAGTACTTAATTTTGTTTTGAGGTCACTGGTGTTGCCCTAAACCTTTAAATTCCCAGCCTTTATATTATGGGGCAAGTAGGCCAAATAAACAGTATGAATGTCTTGTCCTGCATTACACATTTTATTTATTTAGTTTTGTTGAAATGACATACATGAAAGTGTTTTGTGTAGAACCGTGACATTAAGTATATGGGTGTTTGTAATGTCAAAGAGAGTCTCAAACTTGTTTTAATGTTTCTTATTTAGTTTTATACACTATTTATACTTCAACAAACTAGCATCATTACAAATGCATGGTGGGAAACAGGAAAGCTTTGAGTGAGCATCTCTAAATGTAGGCATCTCTCCTTTCTCAAAATGTCTATTTCAGGATCCTTCTTGACATGGTTATTTGTCATTAGCGAACCCTTTTTATTCAATCTGACTTACAGTACAGTGTGCTAATTTCAGCTTTCCAGAAATATCCTGGACTAAAGGTGATAGGGTGAAAATATGTGAAACAATAATGTAATCTTAAACAGACAATCAGACATTCAATAATTAATTAATTTTCTCATGCTAATCTGACTTACAACTGAAAATGGTGTGACTATTTTCATGCTTTTTTGTTTGCTTAGTCTGAACAGTAAGGCTCCATTTGTAAACAAAACTTGTGTCAATGTAATGACAACTGCAAAAGCATTAAGTCATAACTTTATAAATCGTCATATTGTATAATTTCATAACAGGTCATAACTTTACCATAACTAAAAATGGCTATTTCTAACCGTTGATTTTAATGCATTCATATTTCCTAATGGGACATTTACTGAACAGAAGTGTTCTCTATTGTACATTATTATACTTTTGCAAATTAATTTATAAAGGTCACACCTTATTTTGCTGGTCCGTTTGTTGAATTTAGTTACATTGCATCTGCATGCCAACTAATTCTCATTACATTATAAGTAGACTATTAGGTTGGGGTTAGGGTTAGTGTAAGTTGACATGCACTTACAATTACTCAAAATGACCATCACAATAAAGTGTTACCATTTATTTAAAATGTAATTATTTACTCTGAAGATATACAATAAAGCAATGGTATAACATATTTTAAGTTATTTTACTTGTTAAGGTCATCATTTTTAAAACTCAAGTGAATGTCATAATAGGTGGCATGGTGGCTTCAAGTCCCAGCTAGGCCAGTTGGCATTTCTGTGTGGAGTTTGCATGTTCTCCAGTGTTGGCATAGGTTTCCTCCAGGTGCTCCAGTTTCCCCCACAATCCAAAGACATGCGCTATAGGTGAATTGGATGAAGTAAATTCTCTGTGGAGTATGAGTGTGTTTCTCAGTACTGTGTTGCGACTGGAAGGGCATCTGCTGCATAAAAAAAAATTGCCAGAATAGTTGGCAGTTCATTCCGCTGTGGCGACCCCTGATAAATAAGGGACTAAGGCGAAGGACAATGAATATCATAATACTGTGCATCAAGATAAAAAATTCACTATTAAACTTCAACAAGAAAATTAACGAATAACAAAAAAGACTCATTTTAAATTCTAAAGTTTCTCTTCTATGCATAAAACAACTATTATTAGTTTAGTTTAACTCTTTTTTTTTAATTGACAATTCTCAATCAGAGAGTCATTACAAGTAAATAAATAAAAACTATAATACATTAGTTTCACAATGTTGAGGAAAAATACTGGGTGATAATTAAACACATTCCTTACTCTCTTAACCATATTCAGATGAAAATTAAGAAAGTAAACAACAACAACAAAGGTAACAAACAAACCAAACAATAAAAAAAACATACATACATGCACACACACACACACATACACACACATACAAAATTGCTATTAAAGTGTGTTGTTTTATCTCTACAGAAAGCAGCAATGGATCAGAATCTATTTGGCGGAGCTCCTCGTTTCCTAACTCGACCCAAGGCCTTCTCTTTGTGCGTGGGACGGGACGCCTCTCTAAGCTGCACTATTGTGGGAAACCCTGTACCTGTAGTCACCTGGGAGAAAGAAAAATTGCGTATTTCTGCAGGGGGCCGATTCAAAACTGTCGAGGATGGTGATATTTATCGACTTACTATCTACGATCTAACGCTAGAAGACAGTGGTCAGTACATGTGTCGTGCCAAGAACACCGTTGGAGAGGCATATGCAGCTGTAACCCTGAAGGTGGGACTGCCGGAAACTGTGGTGGAGCGTGCCCCAGTGTTTATTGTGAAGCCTGTCTCTACCCGTGTGGGTCTAGGAGGTGATGTTACTTTTTACTGCAGAGTGTCTGCTCATCCAGCACCCAACTTTGATTGGGAAAAGGATGGCCGCTACCTGGGTGAAACCAACCGCATAAAGATTACCTCAGAAAGTGATTCCAGCTCTTTGAGGATTCAAAGCGTTAGGAGCTTGGACAGTGGCACCTACAATTGCCGCGTGCAAAACTCCATTGGTCGGGCTCAATCGGCTGCAACGCTGGTAGTGGACCTTCAAGACACTCATCTCCTGAATGCAGACAAGAGCACATCCCTCCTTTCCCACATGCAGAAGCGCAAACAAGAAATGCGAACAGACATCTCTTTCTACCGCACCACAGAAAGTTCCTCAACCACATCATCGTCTACCAAGATTACAGAGGAACATGGAAGTTTCGGACTTGCCAGGGATCAAGAGCAGAGGGTTTCGGCATTAACCAGCATGTTGCCGAAAGGTGTTTTCACCCGCACTTGCACTGTGACCGAGGGAAAACATGCAAAGCTTAGCTGTTTCGTCACAGGTCATCCCAAACCTCAGATCATGTGGAGAAAGGATGGGACGAACATCAGCGAAGGCCGCAGGCATGTTATGTATGAGGACCAGGCGGAGAATTTTATCCTCAAGGTGCTCTACTGCAAGCAAAGTGATAATGGTCTGTACACCTGCAATGCATCCAACCTGGCTGGACAAACCTATAGTGCTGTGCTGGTGATTGTAAAAGGTAAGAATAATGCTTCTCTTTGAGCACCTTCAAGAGTTCCCACTTAGATATGCTTGGCATTAATAGGCGATTTGTTATGCTCTCCCGGGAGAGAACCCTGAGCTCGGAGATAATTGAGCCCAAGTCTCCCATTCGGTCAATAAGCATATGAGGGGATCTGAGATCAGGTAGGTCTCGAGAGCTCCCCTTAGAAAAGGGAGGAAAAGGAGGAGATGGGGTGAAAGGAGGAATTCTTCCAAAACGAAGATAGAGCAGTAGGGGGAAAAAATCGTTCCATTTATTGTAAGCTTGGATCAATCTGATTGGATTATTACTGATTACAGATGAGCAGCCAGTTGTGCTCAATCATATCACTTGCTCCTCTCGAAATTAGTTTGCGAAACTTCCCTTAAAGGGATAGTTTACTCAATACAGAAAAAGTTATCATCATTTACTCACCTTTCACTTGTTCCAAACATGTTTGACTTTGGTTCTTCTGTTGAACACAAAAGAAGATATTTTAAAAAAAGGTGGAAAAAAGTGTAACAATTGACTTCCATAATTATTGTTTTACCTACTATGGGTGTTTCAGGTTTTCAGCTTTCTTCAATATATTTCCTTTGGTATTCAACAGAATACATCATCTCAAAAAGGTTTGGAACTCTAACAATCATCAATTTCAACTTTTTTCAAGACATAGTTTCTGTTATCTTGCTGGGTCTTGTCATTTTGGCTTTTCCAACTGCTATTTCAGATGAGTAAAATGCATAAAGTGATGAATAATGTGTACAAAATGCTTATTGTGTTCATTATGAAAGAACAGCCAGGATGTAAACTTCCTTTCAGAACTGCAGAAGTTTACAAAATCATGCTGTAGTCATGCTGTAGATTTTGACATCTGGCAGATAGGACTCTTGCACTGCAAAAAATGCTTTTCTTACTTAGATTTTTTGTCTTGTTTCTAGTCCAAATATTTAACAATTCCTAAATCAAGAAGAATTTTCTAGACAAGCAAAACAAATTATCTCGTTTTGAGAAATAAAATGTCAATATTAAGTGAGTTTTTCCGTAAAACAAGCAAAATAATCTGCCAATGGGGTAAGCAAAATAATCTTACGTCAAAAGAAAAAACAAGATTAATTTGCTTACCCCATTGGCAGATTATTTTGCTTGTTTTAAGAAAAAATCTCACTTAATATTGGCATTTTATTTCTTAAAACAAGACAATTTGTTTTGCTTGTCTAGAAAATGCTTCTTAATTTAAGAAATTTTAGATATTTAGACTACAAATAAGACAAAAAATCTAAGCAAGAAAGGCATTTTTTGCAGTGGTGGTGTCAGCACAACAATGATCATGCTTTTAAAAAGCAGCTGGCCCTATTAAATCCCCAACCCTTAATTTGAAATTTTATCAACTAATGACAGTCATCTTTACCTTCCAGCTCCGTCTCTGCTTAGCAAAGTGCTTGGAAGTGTTCAAACAGGGTGTAGCATTACACCTATTTTCTGCTGGTGATGATTAGCTCACAGTTGTTGTGATGGCTAGTTACAAACTCTCTTTTGACACTGTTATGTGGATGTCTTTCCAAGTGACGCTTTTAGGGTTTGAAATACTAATTTGTATTCATTTTTTTGTAAAGTAGACCAAGGTTTAAGTAATGGATTTCTCATATGTATATTTTCTATATATTAAGATTTCTAATTTTATCCAGCAGTGTAGCAATAATGTTGTGGTACCTTGTTCATGTGTCTCAATCTTGACTCTCATGACACAGGCACCTTAGAGAAAGGTCACAGAAACCTAGCCGAATACCAGTCCACCATTGCAGTACAAAGTGCAGTGACATCCATGTGTCGGGATTAAGAGTGTGAAGTTCATGACATTTAAGGCTTATTTCAAGTAAACATGTTCAAATTTCAGATGATTCACCTAAAGCTGGTAAAGGTGTACTGTAGGTCTGTTGAACAAACAATTAAACAACTTATAAATGTCAGAAAACAATTCATTTGATCTGATAGACAGCTTTAATTTTGTCTTATTGCCTAGGTTGCTTGAGCTCTGTTAGTAGTTTCATGGGCACATGAACCCCTCAGACCCAACCTAAAATGACACGTATAGGATAGGCTTTATAAACTAAGCGTAGTTGGTTAGAGTATTGTTTAATTGTTTCTTGTGAGATCCACTTTTAAGCTCACTGATAGGTTTCACAACATCACTTAGGTCTATAAAATCGGGTTAATTTTCTGTCACCACCCTAACATACATCACTGTTCACAATGGAACTTAATGTATATTAATTATATTGACATTAACCTATCCTTGCCAGAACCAAAGATTCCATTCAAGAAAAAGCTGCAGGATGTTGAGGTGAAGGAAAAGGAAACAGCAACTCTGCAATGCGAGGTGCCAGTGTCAAACACAAAGGCTAGCTGGTTCATGGAGGAAACCCGGTTGGAGCAAAACACCAAATACCGTATGGATGAGGAGGGTACCCTGCGCCGCCTGACTATTCGCAATGTTACCACCAACGATGATGCTGTCTACATCTGTGAGATGAATGAAGGCAGTCGCACTGTGGCGGAACTCACAGTGCTGGGTAAATTCTCTGAAAAGAAGCCAATCACCATCTATTAAGCTAATGTTGGCTGTAAGGAATGGCTTTAACCTGGTGCAACACAAAACGTCTTTATGTGACTTTTCTCTTCTGCACTTTTAGGCAACATCACTAAAAAGCTTCCAAGGAGGACAGTGGTGCCAGTTAGTGATACTGTGATCTTCTGTGTGGAGCTGGAAAAACCAGTAGATGATGCATACTGGACCAGGAATGGGGAGAGGCTGAAAGAGGACTCCCGAATAATTATCGCCCGCGTTAACAGACAGTACACACTGACCATTCGTGAATGTACTGCAGAGGACTCAGGCGAGGTGGCCTTCATTGCCCATGACTGCAAGACCTCCACCCGCTTCTCTGTGACAGGTAAATAGCTTTGTACATCAGACTACAACCTTTTCACATGATTGTATTACTTGCGTTAGAAAATGTTATAACCACCACAACAATTCTTTACATTTGGTTCCCACTTTAAGCCAAATATTAAATTCTCTGAATTTTCCCAGACATTTCATGACACAACACCCTGTCTTGAAGTGGTCATTAGCTGCATTTCCACTGTCGAGCCAGTGCGAGCCAGGGCTTTTATCAGGTCGAGCCAAGCCAACAGCCCGGGAGCTTGAGCAGTGAGGCCGAAATCATGTCGCGTTTCCACTGTCAGGCTGGTGGTTTGCAGCGCGTCACGCAAAACCCGCCCCCAGATTGCTAATCAAATGTCACACAACCCGCACATTTCAGCGGGAATCAAGCAGATAAAGCACACCATTGCATAATATGTCTATACGCATAGGCCTTTGTATTTTTATTCTTTATTTTTGTCGCCGACTGACTGTTGGCATCGTACATCGAGTGGTCTTGTCAGCAATGGAGGGAGGACCCAGCGCACCATCCATAATATAAAACCACGGTAATTTTCCGGTATTACTCGGTATAAAATGTATTTTATAACATCCTTGTTTTGGTAGACGCAGTCAGACATTTAGCCCAAATGCTCCGGAGACACTTGTTCTAAATCATATACATTTGCCTAGAATATGACAACTAACAGGTAATTCCTCTTTGAGTAAAATCTTCGTATCCAAACAGACCTACTTTATAAATCTCTCACACACTTGCATCTAAGCATGCACGTTTCATGTACAAACACACCATTTTAACTAGACAAAAACTCTGGACCACTGAAAGTTACGGGCTGCTGTGTCTTTAATATAGTGTAAAGATTACCATGTGATATTGAAACATCAAGGAGGACGCAGCAAAGAAATATGACTTATTAAATTTAAACTACTTAATTATTATGCAACAAGGGAAACATAATGGTGATCTTAAGCAAAAAAGACCCCTGACCTATGAGTTGTTTTATGGAATAGCCTATCTTAAACTGACCAGCTAGGCCCTATGTTTTTCAATCTCTTATTTATTTATTTATTGGCGCATGTACTCATGTGCGATCGGTAAACTAGTGTAATGGCAGCATGCCATCTTTACCAGACTCTGACAAACTCCGCCTCCCCTTTAACTTCACTCCCTAGCCCCGGCTGGTCCTCTTTGGGCCAAGGTATACGGTGGGCCAAAAAAACTGACTGACATTGCCTCGCCCTGGCACGCTCACTTTAGGCACGCTAGTGGAAACTCTGCTATTTTGAAGCCAAAGCTCTTAAAATGTATAATATACTCTGGCATGTTAGCCTTATAAAACTTACAGTCTGGTGACTACATTTGACTGCCAGTTGATAACAAATAGCCTAACCATAAAAATAGGTGTGACACAGCACCTAGTTTTATGGTTAAATGTATAGAAAAATTACAACAAACAGAAATCCTTAATATTGTACGACTTGAACAAAAAATACAATTCCCTGATTTTCAAAGTCTGAAATAGACTTTTACAATGTCATTATATTTCAGAAGTTCCATGATCCATGGGAACCCTGAGTTCACCATTTGTTTTTGCCATTTATAGTAGAATTTTTGTCCTTTTATCTCCAATAACAATAATTTAAACATTGACCCCCAGCACCAAGGAAACATCCTCCAGATCCCCCAGTTGAGCCAATAGTGCAAAACAAGACAGATTCGTCAATCACACTGTGTTGGTCTCCACCGGACAGTGAGCGTCCTGTACCCATAACCGGTTATATTGTGGAGCGCAGGAAGGTGGGAACCCAAACCTGGGTAAAGATCACTACTACACCTGTATCTACTACTAAATACACCATCACCGATGTCCTAGAGGAGACAAGCTATCAGTTCCGCATCTCAGCGGTCAACGATTTTGGTCAAAGCGCCTACTTGGAGGTTCCTGGAACGTTTTACCTTGGTGAGAAAGGCTTTGGTTGATTCCTATAGACACTCATCATATATAAAACCAAAACAAATAAATCAGTTTATTCATATAAATATGTTGTAATTTATTTGATCAGAACCCACAGCATCAGTGAAGACAGGCCTGGTGGATTGCAGTGCAAATGCAGGTGAAGAAGCCACCCTTACAGTGGAGCTCTCTGCTGCGTGTTCCGGCACCTGGACCATAAATGACCAAATGATCCGAAGTGGATCTGAGTATTTAATCACACGCTCAAAGACCACACACACTCTGGTCATCAGGGAAGTCTCCATGGCACTAAATGGGGCACAGGTTAAGTTTGTGGGTGGAGGATCTCAGAGCGTTGCCACACTTAGTGTGAAAGGTAAAAAAGCAGCCGCTTCTGAAAAGTAATAAGGGAACAACTTTGACACTATTCCTAATACTTTTCTTCTTGATCTTATCTAGCTGCAACTGCACGCTTCACCAACAAGTCTTCTCAGGTTGAGGTGTTTACTTTCAGCATGTACTCCTCTGCTCAGATGCACACAGAAGTGTCCAATTCAAATGTCCAGGTAACATGTTTTTTATATCTTTTAACAACATGTAATGTAATGTAATGTGTATTTATATAGCGCATTTATTGCGCATAACATGAAAAAACAGTAAATTACATTTTCCAGCCAGATTTCATGTGGAATGCATTGCATACTGTATACAAAATGGACCAACTCCAGATATCTAATAAATGTACTGTCTGTGTTGCAGGTTGTTTGGATGAAGAATGGGAAGGAGCTGCGGATGGGTAAAAAGTATGAAGCCACAAGTGCGGATCGCAAACGCATACTGACCATTCACAATGTGGATCAAGAGGATGTTGGCATCTATGAATGCATCTGTGATGGCGATAAAATGTCTGTCCAACTTGCTCTTAAAGGTGAAATATGATTTTCCTTTTCGTTTACAAACTTTTAATTATCAGAAATCTTTTAAAGCCTCCATTTGTATTTAATGTTTAAAATAAATATTGCTTTATTAACTTAAACTTGTATTTACAGTGAAGAATACTGCCTATAACAATAGAAAAGCTAAACACTAAGATGTGGAGTGTTTGCAGTAAGCTATATAGCTATTACGATTTTCCAAGAATTAAAATCAATGCTGAGAAATGAGTGCTTAGTACTGAAAGTTCTAAATGGATAAATATTAATTAATATAACATATATATATATATATATATATATATATATATATATATATATATATATATATATATATATATATATATATATATATATATATATATATATATATATAACATATAATATTTATAATATATATTAATATGCTTTGGGGTGTGACAATCATCAACATGTATACTCTCAATGCCATTAATGTCACTATACAGTATATAAATCTATATGGACACAAATGAAAATTTAATTTAGTATTTATTTTAGGTAGTTGCAATATGTTCATGCCTTGTTCTGGTATATTTAAAAAAAAAAAATAATTCCAAGCTTAACAATTTCTAAGTAACTAGAAATCTAAACACACAAAGAATTTAAAAGATCTTACAAATCTTATATTCATCCTTCTAAAAGCAACTTATTTCACTATATATTGATGCACATTTTGTAAAAATGATTTTTTCTATTGCTACAAAAATCAGAGCAAGGTGTGGCAACTAATCCTCCGTTTTCCCCTAACAGAAGAACCAGCTAAGTTTGTTAACAAGCCGAGGGCTCAGCCCCAGGAGAGTGATGCTCTGGTGGGCGATGTGGTGTTGAGCTGTGAGGTTGCTTCTGCTGGAAGCGCTGTTGTGTGGAAGAAGGAACAGACAGAAATAACGGAGGACAAGAGGACAACTTTTATTTCTCAGGGGACACAAAGGAAGCTGGTCATCAGGGGTGCTAAGCAGAGCGATGAAGGACACTACTCGTGTGAGACGGCAGAGGACAAAATGACATTCCTGGTCAAGATAAAAGGTAAGACTGTGCACTAATTAGTATGAAACTTAAAAGTAAAATCAGCAGGATTAATCAGACATGCCACAATACCTAATTAATGTCATAACTTGAAGTGAAGCTAAACGCTAAATGCTACTCCGGCTAATAAACGATTTAATAAGTAAAATTAAAAGTTATGCCTGCCTCGTATAAGTTATAGTAAAGTTTAGAATGTCATTCATCATGCCAGTGGCAGATCTTACTGAGGACATTAATGGTAGAATACAGCTGTTGTTGAAGTGAAGTTTTGCTGGAATCTCTAAAGCTATTCTGGAGCAATGCAGGGGAGGGGTGTACAGAGCAATTATTATTAGGCGAACACTAATGTTTTTGTTCATTCTGTAGATGTTTTAAAACTGCATGCTTTTTTGCTGTTCCACTAAAACTTTTTCAGAAACACGAGCTGCTTTCTCCAACAAAGAATCTTATCAAAAGGAGGTGAAGGTTTCAATCTCCCAGAAGGCCACATTGAGCTGTGAAGTTTCTGATGCCAAAACTGAAGTGAAATGGTTCAAGGATGGCAAGCAGTTGAACCCCAGCAAGACTGTCCAAATGGAGTCAAAAGGAAAAAGCCGTCAACTGGTGCTGGAAAATGTGGAGAAGAAGGATGCCGGAGAATATACCTGTGAGGTTGGAAATGAAAAGCTGCTCTTTAAGGTTCGGGTGGAAGGTAAAGGCTTTTAATGACTCAGTCAAGCATGTGAGAAAGTTTAAATAACTGAATGCAGTTTCTTATACAGCATATTTAAATTTTGCTCCAGACCTTCAAGCCACCTTTTCCAACAAGGATTCTTATCAGAAGGAAGTAAAAGTAGCAACTTCCCAAAAAGCTACACTAAGCTGTGAAGTTTCTGATATCAAAACTGAGGTGAAATGGTTCAAGGATGGCAAGCAGTTGAGCTCTAGTAAGACTGTCCACATGGAGTCAAAGGGTAAGACCCGTCAGCTGATTGTGGAGAATGTGGAGAAGAAGGATGCTGGAGAATATACCTGCGAAGCTGGAAATGAAAAGCTGGTCTTTAAGATTAAAGTAGAAGGTAAGATGTTTCAACAAATAAGCATGGAAGAAACAGAGTTTAAATTACTAAATGTAGTTTCAGATACAGCATTTCTAAATTCTTATTTATGCCCCAGACATTCAAGCCATCTTTTCCAACAAGGACTCTTATCAGAAAGAAGTCAAAGTAGCAACTTCCCAAAAAGCTACACTCAGCGGTGAAGTTTCTGATATCAAGACTGAGGTGAAATGGTTTAAGGATGGCAAGCAGTTGAGCTCCGGTAAGACTGTCCACATGGAGTCAAAGGGTAAGACCCGTCAGCTGATTGTGGAGAATGTGGAGAAGAAGGATGCTGGAGAATATATCTGTGAAGCTGGAAATGAAAAGCTGGTCTTTAAGATTCGGGTAGAAGGTAAGAGGTTTCAACAACTAAGTCAAACATGGAAGTAACAGAGTTCAAATTACTCAATGTAGTTTCAGATACAGCATTTTAAATTTTTTATTTGTGCTTCAGACATTCAAGCCACCTTTTTCGACAAGGACTCTTATCAGAAGGAAGTCAAAGTAGCAACTTCCCAAAAAGCTACACTAAGCTGTGAAGTTTCTGATATCAAGACTGAGGTGAAATGGTTCAAGGATGGCAAGCAGTTAAGCTCCAGTAAGACTGTCCACATGGAGTCAAAGGGCAAGACACGCCAGCTAATTGTGGAGAATGTAGAGAAGAAGGATGCTGGAGAATATACCTGTGAAGCTGGAAATGAAAAACTGTCCTTCAAGATTAAGGTAGAAGGTAAGAACAACATGCCATTGCTTTGCCTTATTTTATTTACATTTACATTTAGTCATTTAGCTGGCGCTTTTATCCAAAGCGACTTACAAATGAGGACAAGGAAGCAATTTACACAACTATAAGGGCAACAATGAATAAGTGCTATAGGCAAGTTTCAGGTCTGTACAGTCTAAGAAGGAAAGTATTAGTAATATTTTAGTAATTTAGTAATTTTTTTTGTAATTTTTTGTAAAATTTATTTTATTTTATTTTTATTTTTTTTTTTTTATTCAGTTAGTGGTATATACAGAGAGGCAATTGGGATTAGGAGATTAGGAAGTGTAGTGGAGACTAAATAGTTGAGTTTTTAGTCGTTTCTTGAAAACAACTCTGCCGTTCTGATGCAGTTAGGGAGTTCATTCCACCAACTGGGCAGATTGAGTGTGAGCGTTTGCGAAAGTGATTTCTTCCCTCTTTGGGATGGAACCACAAGGTGGCGTTCATTCACAGAACGCAAATTTCTGGAGGGCACATAGATCTGCAGAAGTGAGAGCAGATAAGGAGGAGATCACGGTGACTCAATCAAACAAGGCCAGAGTAATGTGTACAAAAAAACTGAATGCAGTTTCTGATGCTACATTCCTAAATGTTGATTTCTGCAACAGACATTCAAGCCCCAATCTTCAACAAGGACTCCTATCAAAAAGAAGTAAAGGTTTCAGCCACCCAAAAAACCACACTGAGCTGCGAAGTTTCCGACATCAAGACTGAAGTGAAATGGTTTAAGGATGGCAAGCAGCTGAGCTCCAGTAAAACTGTTCACATGGAGTCCAAGGGCAAGACCCGTCAGCTTGTGGTAGAGAATGTAGAGAAGAAGGATGCTGGAGAATATACATGTGAAGCTGGAAATGAGAAACTTGCATTCAAAATTCAGGTGGCAGGTATGAAAACATTCTGATGTTTTTCTGTTGATGCTCTGATTCAATTTAAAACTTTCTTCCTTATAAAAAAATATTACGATTGTAATAAACTATTATAGTTTTTTTTTTAAAGAAAGCAAATTTTACATTAAAATCAGAACCATTTGAAATAAGAATTTCATTTAAACAAAAGTCTAAAATGTCATGGCCTCTAGTCAAAAATCATTCTATGAGATTTTATTTATGTGCCTACACATCTTACTATAAATAGTTTTCTCCAATAAATGATACAGTACATTTAAAGCAAGCAATATTTGATGGCTTTTTCAGTGACACAGAATAAAAAACAAATTTTATACTTCAGTGCCCTTTTTTCTGGATTGGTGTACAGTTTATAATTTATTTCCGACATTCTCAAGCATACAGTTTTTGCAGTATATGTTGTATGTCATTTTGAATGACATTTATTTACTCAAAGAATGCTTTTTTTCTTAAACTGTCCAAAGCTCAACCAGACATTCAAGCTGCGTTTATCAATAAGGACACCTATCAGAAAGAAGTCAAAGTAGCGGTTTCCCAGAAAGCCACACTAAACTGTGAAGTTTCTGATACCAAGACCGAAGTGAAATGGTTCAAGGATGGCAAACAATTGAGCTCTAGTAAGACTGTCGACACGGAGACGAAGGGCAAGACCCGTCAGCTAATCTTGGAGAATGTGGAGAAGAAGGATGCTGGAGAATATACCTGTGAAGTTGGAAATGAGAAACTTACATTTAAAGTTCAGGTGACAGGTATGGAAAAAATCCTAGTGTTTGTAGCAATTTATGTCTTTAACTTTATGCAATATGTATACTTAAATATATTGTATTTCTAATATTGGATCCATGTTGAACTATGTCTTCCCAACTAGACATTCAAGCTGCCTTTACCAACAAGGACTCCTATCAAAAAGAAGTCAAAGTAACAACTTCCGAAAAAGCCAATCTAAGCTGTGAAGTTTCTGACCTCAAGACTGAGGTGAAATGGTTCAAGGATGGCAAGCAGTTGAGCTCCAGTAAGACTGTCCACATGGAGTCAAAGGGCAAGACCCGTCAGCTGATCTTGGATAATGTGGAGAAAAAGGATGCTGGAGAATATACCTGTGAAGCTGGAAATGAAAAACTGGTCTTTAAGATTCTAGTGACAGGTATGACAAATTTGGACCCTATATTTTGGCTCGGCGCATTTGGTCATTAGTGTTTGCTCTTCACAAGATGAAATAATATATTCACAACTTGGAGTAAAATTATTTTATGACAATCTTGACAGTCTAAGCTGCTATGAAAATTGCATTGACAGTTGTCCTATTCAGGGTGATATCTTATTATTGAATTTCTTCATGAATAGGCAAACTAAACTCGTTGATTGAAATAAACTAATTTTACCTTTTCTTTAGAGCCCAAAGCTGCCTTCACCAACAAAGACTCTTATCAGAAAGAAGTAAAGGTTTCAGCTTCCCATAAAGCCACATTAAGCTGCGAAGTTTCTGACCTCAAGACTGAGGTGAAATGGTTCAAAGATGGCAAACAATTAATCTCTAGTAAGACTGTACACATGGAGTCAAAGGGCAAGACCCGTCAGCTTGTAGTGGAGAATGCAGAGAAGAAGGATGCTGGAGAATATACATGTGAAGCTGGAAATGAAAAACTGGTCTTTAAGATTCAGGTGGAAGGTAAGACTTTCTTGGACCTTCATAGTCTACAAACTTCTGTCTTGCTCCAGAACATTTAGTGAATATTTCTTGATTTGTCCCTAGATGTTGCAACTAAATTCCAGAAGGCATCTATGACAAAAGAAACTGTGATGTTTGAATCAGCAGAAAAAGTTATTTTAAAAACTGAGGTTATGTCAGAGAGTTGTAGTGTCAAGTGGTTCAAGGATGGAGTGGAACTAAAAGATGGATCAAAGTATGAGATGAAACAGGAAGGTCGTTCACGCATCCTAATTGTTAAGTCCTCAGAATCCAAAGACACTGGAACTTATTCCTGTCAGTCAGCTGATGACAAGGTGGATTTCAAGGTTCAGGTCAAAGGTAAATGCCCATTACAGTTACAAAGCAAGAAGTATAAATAATTTAAGTTGTTAAATTTCCCAGAAGTCTAAAAAATCATACAATTATATATTTACAACTAGTTTAAATGCACCAAAATGTAATTGATCACAAACAAAATGTAATTAAAATATTCCTCTTATTTAAATGACCACAGAGGCACCGTTCAAATTTGTGGGTCCCCTTCAGCCAGTGTCTGCAGTACTAGAAAGTACCATGACACTTTCCTGTAGCCTTAACAAAGCCACAGGTAATATCCTTTGGAAACATAATGGCAAGGAAGTTAAACCAGGTGGCAGATTCAGCATCCGCACTGATGGGACCAACTGCATATTGACCGTCTCCGCTGTGGCTCAGGAGGATGAAGGAGAATACAGCTGTGAGTGTAAAGACGACAAAACCTCCACTAAAGTCACCATCAAAGGTAAAAACTGTTCGTGACAAGCTATCAATTTAAGCTTGTTATAAGTAATAATAATAGATAGTGTCAATTACCACTTTAATCCCCCACAGCGCCACGTCTGGTGCGGTTCACCACCAAGCTGAACAATGTTGTTGCAAATGAAGGCAAAGATGCTATCTTCAAATGCTCAATCACACCACCTGATGTGAGCGTAAGATGGCTGCGTAATGATGTTCCCATAATGGCCAGTCCCAAATTTAAGATTGCTCAAGGGGGAAGCAGCCACTCCCTCACCATCACAGCTGTCACTCAGGAGGATGCAGGGGAGATCAGTGTTGATGCCGAGGGCAAAGTGAGCAAAGCCACACTTCAAGTACAACGTAAGGATAACTAAATCATAATGCAACAAATAAGCACACAGACAACCTGTTTCTCAGTACAGATATATCAATGCCTTGCAGAACTTCCTGTCACCTTCACGAAGAAGCTTGCAGATGTGACTGTGCAGGAACAGAACACAGTTCGACTGGAAGTGGAGCTGAGCAAGCCCTCAAAAGATGTGAAGTGGATGAAGAACGGTGTGGTACTGCAGCAAGGAGGAAATCTAGAAATTCACGTTGATGGTGCCAAGCAGACTTTGGTGCTCAAGAGTGTGGCTTATGCTGACAGAGGCCATTACTCATGTGAAACCCTAGATGACAAGACCCAGGCCAAACTTTCAGTAGAGAGTATGGCTTCTGTTTTATGTTACACTTTTTGCAATGATGCATAATTTATGACCAGGGCTTAACATTAACTTTTTTGACCACCAGCCAATGTGGCTAGTAGTTTTCCAACATTACTAGCCACTCGCCATTTTCACTAGCCACAATTTTATTGTTGGGAAAATATATATTATACACATAAATATGACTTTGGCATGCTAAAATTACTTGATTTAGAGTTTGCGTTATCTTTACATGCCTCCTTATTCATTTTACTTTTTGTGTGTCGTGTATGAGCTTGCTCAATAATAATGAGCAAATGGGTCAGGGTTTCATATATTACAATTAGTTTTCATAATCTTCAGAGCTCAAAATTAAGGATTTACCCAATTTATCTCTGACCACACCATAAATAAACAGTTAATTATTTCTTAGCCACACATTTTAAATGTGTAAACATGCAAAATATAGCTGAATACTATACTTTTTATTTAACAAAACATATACACAGTCTCATGCCCTGGCTAAAGGTAAAAAAAAAAAGATAATTAAACCATATTAATGCAAAAGAAAGCAGATAAAAACATACTGTGTGATCATGAAAGGATGATCACACACGCATGGTTAAGGATAGACCCATAAATTATTTTTTCAAAGAATGGTTAAACCGAAAGCAACTGGCGCTGCTTACAATAAGTCAACTCTGGAACTCTGTAAAGCAGCAAGACTGTAGCCTGTAGGTGCATGTTCATCACTTTTTGTTCAGTCTATTTGAAGGAGAACCGATCGCATCGGTTGTGTTTCTAGACACAGTTGCTTCACAAAAGGAAACGGGAGCGCGCACGCATTATAAACAGTCGCGCGTATCACCTCAGCTGCGAAGTTGCGAACGCAATTATTTTTGTCAGTCGTGTTGCTTCTCGATCGCCTGTGCATGCATATTGGACCATCCTTATTGTCGAACCCTGTTTTTAAGAATTATTATCTGGGAAAATTATTTTCAACCAGCCAAAGTGGCTAGTGGGAGTGTTTGTCTTACCGCCGAAATCTACCCGCATTTGGCCGGTGTTAATGTAAAGCCCTGTTTATGATTATATGTAACCTGGGTAATAAAATTACCATAAAAGTCATTAACAAAACTGCTCAAAGTATTGTGCATTTCCAAAAGTATTTTGTCTGTGGATTTTTATTCAATTTTTTTACCATTTAGTTAAGAAGATTCAGGTAGTAAAAGGCCTCAAAGAGATGAAAGTTCAAGAAAAAGAGACTGTCACTATGGAGGTGGAGCTCAGCAAGGCTGATGTAGAAGGTTCCTGGAGCAAAGATGGAATGAAGTTGAAGTCAGGACCCAATATCATTATAACATCATTGGGAAACAAGCACTGCTTGACTATGTCCCAGCTAAAGATAAGTGATGGTGGAGCTATTACCTTTCAAGCTGAAGATGTCCATACTTCTGGCAAACTAATTGTTACAGGTGAGTGTGTGTTTTTGAGTTCTTGATGTTTAAGCCAAAGATAAGGGTTAAATTCAGTATGTTTAGGTTTAATCTGTCATAAATTATATGATGTTTAGCATTTAAACATGCTGTTATAATTATTTGTGTGTGTTGTATGTACAGAGCCTGCTGCAAAGATCCTCAAACCTCTACGAGACATCAGTTCGCCTGAAAAAGAGAAGGTCACTTTTGAATGTGAGGTGTCAAGAGCAAATGCAGAAGTCAAGTGGTTTAAGGTATTGCAATTTGATTTAAAATCATTAAAAATATATATAAATTATGTAGTCTCATATAAATGCAGTAAAATAAATTAGTAAATATGAGACAAGTGAAAGAATATACAGTGTTTCCTCTAGGATTTTTTCTACATGTGGCGTTATTTCATTGACAAATGTCGTGGGCTCAGTAATAAGTCGAGATCGCATTCATGTAATAGCCTACGAGCATGTCAATCTCTGCTTGAGCGCCGATTTCCTCTGTTCGTGCACAAAACTTCTTGCGCGCCCTCAAATATAAGCTGCTCAAGCGCAGATTTTCTTGCTCGCCCTTAAATAAACGCGACTGAAGTGTGATTTAGTGCGTTTATGTACCGAGTATGTCACCAGCATTTGTTAGATTTGCTAGGAATATTTATGAATGTCTCCGATAGACTTGCGGAGCGGACCGCGGCATTAATGCGTTCTGACGTAAAGTGAAACGGCTACAAACTCCAGCAAGATCATTATATGCAGAGCCACAGACCTTTATCTATAAATAAAGTATAATTATGGAAACTGTGTTCATCATAACTGAAAGCTACGCCGTGTTTGCTGGTCTCACGCATCACGCACCTGTCAGTCAGTCAGTCAAATCAGCACGTCACCTTAAAGGGTTAAACAGAACGCACAGCACTACTACGGTCACAGAAAAGTTTGCGCTGTTATTATTCACTTAGCTTTTTATACATTTTCGGTGCGATTTTAACCCGCTATTTTAAAAAACGACAGAATATTTTGAATAAGAAGCTGTAATGTAGCTGTGGCGGGATGAATTTTGGTGTGGCGCTCCGCCATGGAAGAATGAATGTAGTGGAAACCATGAATAATGTCAATGAAATTGCTCCATCAGGATGATGAGGAACTGAAGCCAGGAAAGAAATACGGCATCCATTCCCAAGCTAACAAGCGCACACTTCTCATCCAAAAATGTGCCTATGAGGACCAGGGCCTGTACATATGTAGAACAACAGATGACAATACTTCAGCCCAGCTCACTGTGCATGGTAAAACAAATGACGTTGAGTGGTACATTTAAACACTACTATAATATTTTCGAGGTGTCATTTAATGTTTGTACTTGAATTCTTGCAGCAAGAGATGTTAAAATAGTGAAGCAGCTACAAGACATGGAGGTGACAGAGAAAGAGAGTGCATCATTTGTCTGCGAGGTTTCTCATGATGAGGTGGAGGCTCAGTGGCACAAAGGAGATGCCAAACTTAAAGCTGGAGAGAACATAAAAATGAGGCAGGAGGGTGAGTTGAACTGAATGGAATGTGATGGTTATATCTTTTTGAAAGCTTTGGTGAACGTACAGAAATCCATCTAGCGCAGGTTCAAGCACAAGCAGAACAATATGGCAAAACATGGGTGTGAGGATTTACGTTCACCCGAAATGTCTCTCTGAAAAACAGA